GAGGTATTTAGTTTGTCCTAACTTTACCTGACCAAGAGAGATGCAGGCAATTTTTAAGTGAAATAACAGCATTACTTCAAAACATTTTGCACAGAAAACCTACTAGTCTCTATTCTAATAAAGTCAAAGACTTTTCAGGCTTCACAAAAAAAGCACTGAAAAGCACAAAAATCAACAGAGGCTGCTGATTAATGATAAAAAAGGATTGTAAAAACAGGCAAACTTTTAGATGCTAGTGATCTCGGATTTTGCTGGTAAATATTACACATTATTATACACCGTAGCACATAAAGTCAGAACCACAACTGATACTTTCGTCTTGTCTGAACTTTGAAAGTTAGGATTTTATCAGTAAAAAGCCCTGTAGATCAGTTTAGCCCAAAGAAGCATTTTGATTGCCTAATTTAGCTCGGTAAAGGAGAAGTAAATCTTATAAGTTGGTCTCTCTAAGCCTCACAGCTGGATCATTCTAACACTACTTTGCACTTTCCAGTGATCAAAGTAAGTTACTTTATATCTAAAAGTAAGAATTTCATAATGGAAATAATGCAACACCAGGGGGTGCAGTTATCATGAAATAATTACACTCCTGGGAGATTACAGACAAGGCTGTACCCCAGGGGTGTGATTATCCCATGATAACCACATCCACTGAAACTGCCTTATTGCAAAAATAATCTCTATTCACTGGTGAGATGTTATTCAATAGGTGCTTTTTAATGGTAAGATTATTATTTTTTTTGTATGAATTACCAGCTAGATTAGTAAAATGGTCCCAGAAGCAAAATAACCAAGCCACCACGCCTAAGTTAAGGTACTGATTGTAATTTTTGTTTGCTGGAGCACTGCAGTGTATGTCAGATCTCGAAAGACAGCAGTCTTTTCTCACAGAACACAGTTCTGTGCCACAGACACAATTTCACCCTGCAGTGGTTCCACTGGAGTAAACTGAAGTCCATGACTGATCTTTGTATACAAGATATTCAACACTGAATCCAGAACCGCAATTGCCAATCAGTCTATGTGCAAAGAGGAAGATTACAACGCAGTCTTCACATAAGATTCAAAGACAAGTATCCTTCTGATGAAATAAAGAGAATCACAGCTTATAGTACTTATGGGAAAGAAAAAGCCTATATTGGTGGTTATTTTATGATGTGAAAAAAATGTACATAGGCTATCAATAGCTCTTCTTTTTCCTCACAGAGAAACAGAGCAAGAACTTTTGATAATGCAACTAAATCAGACACAGGAATTTCATTTTCATTGATTTTAACTCAAACGTTTCCTCTGAGGCTGAAAAAATAGTTTAAGCCCAATAAGACATTTTGTATTGCTGTCTTTCTGAAGGAGGAAAAATAGAACAAAACATAAGCTGAACTTGTATCAGGTGCTCTTGAATATTTTCTTTGTGTATCGAGATACATAATTTATATAGTGTCAAAGGAAACAATAATGACAACTAAAATTCAAGCGTATAGTTCTCAAGTATCTGAAGAATAAAGTTGGATTTTTTTTTAAGCACCTTCTCACAGCTGACTACTGTGGAAAATTTCCATCAACAAAATATCAAGAAATGCTGAAATGCCACATCTTTGCTTTTTGGCGGAACACAATATGAAGCACTAAATCACTGTTTTGTTTACATGCTATTTCTTTCCATTTAGCATGACCTACCCATTCAGATAAAATGGCTTCTGCATTATTTACACTTTTTTCTTCTGTTCAAATAAGGAGTCTAAATCCTACTGAAGCTCACAGATTTGGGCATTTTTAAAAAATATATATTATCCCCTAGGCTTCTGTTAAATTAAAGTCACCATTTAACTAAGACCTTTGAAGGTTTGAAGGTGGTGGGAAGGGGAAGGTTTGAAGGTGGTGGGTGGGAAGCAATTCAGGTGCTTTTGGCGTTTTTTAAAACCTAATCATCAGTTCATGAAACACCAAAAGGTTTCATAAAAAGATGATATCCTAGTCAACCTAAGTAAGAACAGTGTGGCAACAGACATTTTTGTAGTGCTATAAAATAATCCAAAAATAATTAAGAATTTAGTCTAGAGACAGAAAAGCAGCTTAGGAGTGCATGCAATTACTGATAAAGAGAAGCAGGAAGAAATGGAGGTTGAGGAGATGTGTTTTACAGAGGAACAGAAGAAGGTTCTTAGAGGTGGATACCGACTCAGCATTAGGGATAGTAACAAAGCATTAAGCAGAAGTAACGAGAGGAACCAAAGAGCAATAAAGAGAAATGGTGAAGACAAGATTATATTGTTGAGGGGTATTGATCAGAACATGACAGAATTTGTCTTTTTAATGTTGCAGTGTCTTGAGTTTTACCCTCAGCATAAGCTAATTTACACAGCTTACTGCAAATCTGCAGCACTGTAACAACTGGGTAGTACTCTCAGCAACGCAAAGACAGTGACCTACTCCCATCCCAGACAACACAGGACTGGTGTCAGGGTTTAGTTAAAAAAAAAAAAAAAAAAATCAGGTTTTTTAAAGTGCACAATGCAAGCTTTAACATGCCACGTGGATGACTATGAGTCTTAAGAGAATCAGTGAATTCAGTAACTTGTGTTCTCACTTAACTGTAGCGCTTCATTTACATACATGGAATTTCCAGAAGTCATCAAAGGAGCATAATTTAGCTTGTTATTAAATCAGATGAAGTTTTAGAAAAGTTGATGAAAGGACTGTATTCCCGAGGTTAGAAAAAGCAGACAACCTTTTATCTGATGATCTAGTTAATATTACCACTTCCTATAAGCCTTGTATCTGCTATTAAATCAAGAACTTAAAACTGTTTAAAACTTTACCTACAGTGTTTTTTCATAGTTTCCCCGAAAGAAAGAGAAAGCAGCAGTATCATTACAGCTGACTACTCAAATCCAAGAACAGTGTCTGACAAATTATACATACAAACCCTGATCTATCGCCCACCCCTACTCCCCGAAATCCTTCCTCAGACTATAAAAAAAAGTCTATGCTCAGCATAGCACACTGTCTTCCAAGTTCCAGAGCTGAAAATGAAAGGGCATCGGTGCAGTCTGAAAACATCTAAGTAGTTTTACAGCACTCTCCTTCATGCAAAATTCATCATATGTGCTAAACCTCTCTTTAGGCTTCGAATGACTGTTTGGAAAGCTACCCAGAGAACATCTCCCTGACTAGGGAACACCCACAGCGGTCAAACGTTGCCTGCACCTAGATAGTTAGTTCAGTTACGTTTGAAGCAAGCAGTTAGCCTTACACTGACACTGTAAAGTGTCCGTATTATACTGTTATGAATAATAGGGAGTCCACTTTCACGTTTGTGCAGGCATATACAAATACATCACGCTTTCCCAGCCAAGCACTCCTAAAATTTACCCACATCATTTGAACTCAGGGAAAGGAAAAAAAAAGTGAGTTCTGCAGCACAAAATCATATCTGACATGTAACAGCTGCACAGTGTAACTCTACCATCACCCAATGCTCCAAGCACCATTTCTTCTAAGGTAAGAATGAGACAAGAAAATGATCTAATGTGACAACCTACTGAATAGAAAGGCTGAGAACATCAACTGCAGGATGGCTAATGGTATAATCATCAGACAGTGTCTAAAAGCAGAGGAGCGTAAGAGACTATTTCCTTTAACTTACTCTTCCAGGTCTCATCTCAAATAAATTACTAATATCTAGCTGATCTAATTCTGAAAAGCAAGATTGTTGGTAGGCTAAATATGTAATAAAACTAAGAGCTACTACATAAAACAGATAACCTGAGGAAAGACAGAAGAAAAAACAGATGTTATCAAGTGTGCAATTGTAATGGTACCCTGGCAAAACTGAATGCACAACACAGCACATGATCTTAAAGCATGGCACAGCAAGGCTGAAGACTCATTCATACTACCAGGTGTTTCTTTAATGTACCACAATTTTCAGAATATGAAAAGCGTTACAAACTTGAGTCAACTTACAGAAAACAAAGTATTGTGCGAAAAAATATTCAATTTGAATGCTTATATCCACTTCTTTAAACCTCATCTAACACTACATGCTGGGTGAGTCCAAGTAACAGGAAAGCTAGTAGAAGAAAAAAAACCTGTAGTTCAGAAAGGAACAAGAAGCCAGCTGAAAGGAAACCAGGCATTTGGAAATCTACGTTTCAAGTGCTTGTTCATTTATAGAAGCGTAATTATGCATATAAAAAACCTCCAACCCTCTCCTCTTTTTCCAGGTGATTAACAAAGATATACTGATATACTCCAACTTTTACAAGCAGTTTGCCTCAATATGAACTGGGACAGTTTGACAACCCATTACACTGTTAGTTTGGTTTGGTTTTGGTTTTTTTTCTTGACACAAATATTGTCATTCTTATATAAACAATCTAATTGCAGCTTCTGAATTTTTGCTACAGATAGAATCAAAGCAACAACCATTATGGACTCTTTTTTCAAAAATGTGTTAGTAATTAGAAAATTAGGTCCTTATCATTCGAAATTGTGTATCCTACATTTGGAACAAAGAAACGCTTTCCCTATTTCAACAGCTCTTTGAAACATGATAAACTTAAAACTTCTAAAATTAAACCTAATGAGTTCCCTCAAAATTTCTAACCAGCACCATTAAAAACATTAATGGCCTACCTGAACCATCGCTGGAGACTGAACTTGCATTAATTCCAGAAAGGCCAAATAAGGGACATTCTCGATCAGTGTTTACATGACCCCACTTATGGCATTTAATACATCTCACATTCCGCACCTAAAAAGGGAAAAAAAATGAAATAATTTAGTTAACAATATAACTTAACCTTTACAGAAATGTCAATGTTATTCAGCATAAGAGAAGCTTTCAAACTCACTGAGAAAGAGACAATAAAATTAAGAGACTCCATGTGAATGTTCTGTAGTTAGATAATATTTGAAATATACCCAAGACATCCACAGAGTGAAATTTATGTAACTTGCCTGGATACCAAAGGGCTGATCTCTGATATTCATATCATCCTTAGCGTATCTGTTACACAAACACAAAGAAAACAAATACTCAAATCACTGTACTTTTTCTAAACCATCATATACAAAACTACCTTTTATTGTTAAGTGTGTATCCATTTCAGAGATATACTTAAGGTGAGCATTTGTTCTAATGTGTTTCCAAGTATGGATGTAAAATTCAAACAAAACCTAAGCTGATCAAGGAAATTATTCCAGGTTTATAGGTTTCACTAATTAACTGCCAGAACATGACAGGATTACACAAATTACCTGCTCAAGAACAAAGTAGAAAAAAAAAAAAAAAAAAAAAAGGAAAAAAGAAAAGGATAAGAAAAGTAAGCAAGAGGAAAAATAAAGCATTTGGATAAAATCCAGACATCTTACTTTTCTCGAGGGGCGACCTTTTGCCATTCAAATTTGTATTCAGTCTCTCCTTCTTGCTATAAAACAGAAGACATGGAAAGTAATTTTTTTTTAAAAAACACATTTTACGCAGGAAGAAAACAAAGAAATTATGTAATGCAATACCTCTTTAGTTTCCTCTTTGAATTTTCAGAAATCATGGAAAGGAAAGAAAATAAATGATACATTAATTATACACATAAAATGCAGCTGGTGTCTAAGCTGGAGACAAATTATTTTATTTTGTATACTAATACAATACTGCAACTGCTCAGAAAGTAACTTTATTTAAATACAGCACACGCATAAATAACCCGCCTTTAGTATATGAAGTTACAAATTCTGTAAAACCAGAATAATCTTTTAAAAGTATATTGACTTGAGAGACAAATAAAAAAACTTTGAACTCTTTTGCAAATGTAACAACAATACTTATTCTTTTTTATCAATAATCAGTTAAAAATGTTCAAAACTGCATTTGCTCTAAGCTTAAGGGATTACCTTAAGAGCTTTTAAAGTTAAATAACTGCAAAATTTGCACTACAATAAGCCCACCCAAACATTCCAAAAGGGTTTCGTTCAAATGGGAAAGGTGCATTTTCAAGGGAACGTCTTACAGTACGTTTTCTTAGTTCTGCACTTACTCAATCAGTTAATTTTAGCAAAGTCTGAATGTATCCACCAGGTATTTAGTAACTTCTGTTTCTCAGTCTGTTAAATACAGTCTTAGTCAGACCCATCAGAGTCAGGTCATAAAGCACTTTTGACTACAAATTCTCAGTATTCATAAAACTTCCACTAATTAGCTTCCTGCTTTGCTATTTACTGTGCTGGACATGCATCAAGCTGAATTATGGGCAGAACTTTTAAGCAAAAGTGACCTTGCTATTTCTAAAAAGGAGAGTATGCCAAAATACACATTTGTATTGTCTGAGTCACTGCCTTGGTAAGACCCAGTCTTCTTCATCCAAAGGCTTTATAACTAGCTAAAGAAACACCTTTGGTTAAGGACAGAATTTCTGCTGTTGCCAGGAAAGATACTTCATCTGAACTGTTGTTAAAAAAAAAAAAAAAACAAAAACCAAAACAACTCAACCATTCAGACTTTGAAATAAATTAAAATATAGTGAGATCAAAATTATTAAGTACTATATACCTCTGCGTATTCACACAGAAGAGCTAAAAATCATACCTTCTAGCATCACCTCATTATGGAGACATTATTTTAAAATAAAAGACACTATGCTTATTTCTTCAGAGAGTTTTTAGCTTTGCAGTACTGCCTGCTCACGATCAGGAAACCAGAATACCTTTCTTTGCTCCAGGTGGGGCCTCATACATGAAATTAAGACCATTCTTCACACGCTCATCACCCATAAGCAATCTAAATAAAAAGCACACACAAAACATTTACTTTGGTATTATTTATTCAAAAAAAAAAGGAAGAAGAAATGTGCAGCAGTGAATTGCGATAATAACTAGCATTTTTTTCATTTGTTAATTTGAGTACTAGAAGTTGAACATCAAAAAACCTGAGAGACCAGTCAATACTTTTGCATGCTCCACTGTGTACCAAAAATCATACGTTTCAGTCCCAACTGAAACATAACTGTGTCCACAGAATTATGGAGGATGGATTTCTGTGTGATCCAAATACACTGCTATACAAAGTTACCTGCTGTTCTGTGCAACGAACATATTTTGAAATTAATTACATCACACACACAAGCCATTTACAATAAGTTATTGTGACCTCTGCTTAATCAGACATCAATTTGTGAGTCACTATCCTCTGCTACTAGTATGGTCAGTAGGAGACGATACTTCAAATAACTCACAATGATATATCCTTCACTGACATTAAAACAAGAGACAACAGGAAGAAATATGTGATCTTATGCCAATTCTCACCTATTATCATAGGATTCCTGCTCTTTAAGATACTGTTGCATTAATTCTTCTTGTTTCTTCTTATCGTATGATATTTTCTGTTCTGCCATCCATACCTAGTTAAAACAAATAAATTTATACGTTAAACAAATACAAAACCTACCACAAAATGCGTTAACGTATAAATACTTAACTGGTTTAGTCTATCAAAAATATTTAACGGCAAAATTCCCATTATAATAACATAAAATAAACTATTTCCATCCAGCATTTCAACAAATGAACTTCACACAAATAGCATTTTTGATAGGCTACAACTCCAAACAACACTTAAGAACTGAAAAGACACAGGAAAGTTTAGTAATGCAAAGGGAAAAGCAAACTCAGAAAACACTCCGGGTGCGCCACTGTCCTCCCTGTACCGATATGTCCTCACCCAAGGCTCCCCAGACCCCAAACCCCAGGTTCTCCCGGGAGCTCCTGCAATGGTACGGTACTGGGAGAGAAAGACCCGGGAGCAGGCCCAGGCGGGTGTGAGGCAGGGGGAAAACACGGGCGCACGGTGACTGGCGGGGTTCTCCCGATGGCCTGCAGTGTCAGACAGACACCGTTTGTCCAGGGAACCGGGTACTGAAACGCTGGAGCCGGGAAAAGGAGATAGTTATACACTCCTGGGAGCACGTAAACCTGAAGCTTCAAGTATTTATTTTTTCCCTGACTCTTCCTCCCCCCTTCCCCAACCCCAGTCCCACTGCGGGCAGGCCAACACACCGTGCCCATGCCGCCGCG